AAGACAGAAGAGCACAGTTGAAAAGTATTGTATACAGTCCAATTCGTAAGTTGGGATGGTAGTAGTATAAACAGAGCAGAGTATATGAGGTATCAAGGAACGCAAAAAAAGCTGGGGAAAAATGAGAGTTCTAGTATCACACTGGAGATTAGAAGCCAAGATAGAACATGAGAGAATAATACAAACCCATTCTTGCTTATCCATGAATTATATGACGCCAAAACACCAGTTATTCTGATATACAATAGGGCATACTTCCCGATTACCATGATAGGAGGTTTGCCGCGGGAAAGGGCCAGGGGTTTTCCGTCCGCTCAGTGTTCGGAGACTCAGCGTCGCGATTCTGGAACATTTTTTCCCGCTGATAACCTTGTGGACAAGCGTAGGAGGATCCAGAAGCCGTACGCCATGACATAACACAAACCTTGTCTCATCTATGCATGGCGATGATCCTGTAGTCCTGCAACCCAGCTCCACTGGCAAGTAACGGAAAAGTGTTTTACTCGACCCTTGCGTTGGCGGAGAAGCAGAGACTCATCATCTTTTTGTGTGATTGGACTGCGATCCTTTTCTTCTTATCAAACGAAAACTGATTTTCTCATCATTCTTCGATAATGAGAGGGGGGAAAAGAATACTCTTTTCGACACCCTCACCGTAATCCGGATCACAACCATAGCGTGCAGCCGAAAAGCTCCGTTTCGATGGCTCTGTCTTGTCTACACGGAGAATATCGAGAAGTTCGGTAGACTTACTGGGCATGAAAGGTTGCAATAGGATACCAGAGATTCGTAGGGACTCGGCAACATTGTATAGCACTCGCTGCGAGTCGGCTGGAGATTTCCATGGCTCTGCTGCATGGAAATACTTATTCGTCTGCAATAAAGGGTAACGGAAGCGATGTCAGTCTGATATAATCGTGTCTAGTGCTTGTGTGATAGACTCTTAACACTGACCTTCTCGATAATCACCATGATGTCCTGCAAAGCGGCACGGGGGTTTAACTTTTCCATTTGTTCCGCCACTCTATCAGGTGTCTGCTCTAGAAGCGATTGATGCTCCAGATCTTCGGGCGTCGGCGCGGGCAGCTTGTCGGCGGCTGCGTCCGCAATGTACGACCGCAGGTTACCCTTTGCACAACCAATTGTACGGTGTGTTAGGTTTCCAATGCCCCATTGGAGCATCTTCTTGTAGTCACGGATAATGTAGGAGTTGTCATAGTCGGCATCCCCCGCTAGTCCACCTTGGAAAGCAAGGAAGAAACGCATGGTGTCGACACCAAAACGATCAATCGCGAAGAAAGGATTCACCACATTTCCGGTGGACTTCGACATCTTTTCCCGGTTCATGGTCCAGTGACCATGAACGAGGACTCTACGAGGTAGAGGCAAATCCAGTGCCATAAGGAAGGCAGGCCAATAGACGCAATGGAAACTGACATGGCTGTCAATCTTTCGTCCCGCCCGTCACGCGGAAGAATAACTTACCGAACAATATCTTTGCCGATGACATGCACATCGGCGGGCCAACCTAGTCGGCCCTCCTGACCAGGAGGAAATGGGTATCCGGCCTTAGTCAAATAGTTGATAAGGGCGTCCAGCCAGACATAGATCGTTTGTGTCTCATCGCCCGGTACAGGAATGCCCCAGGTCAGTCGCTCCACAGGCCTAGAGATCGACAAATCTGATAATCCCGAGGACACTGACTTGACGAGGTCTGCCATATAGTTACCAGGCGTGACGAACTCGGTGCTTTTGTACAAGTCCAGAAGGCGCTCCTGAAAGGCAGACAGTCTGAAGTGATAGTTCGTTTCCGACGACCATTCTACCTCTTTTCCTGTCTCAACTGAAACCTGGCATAGTGAGTGGTTGTACATCTGATAACATCCAGATTCTAGGGCCAAATACCATTCTCTTCCTTCCAGTAGAGGGATCCAAGGAGTTTTGCACTTGCGATGGGGGGTAGAACGTTTCGTCGCTGACGGAATACCATCCCTCGTGCTTTGCAGTGTAAATATAGCCCCGGTGGTTCAACATTTCCTTTTGCATAGTCAGCATGCGGAGCAGAAAGCTAGCAGCATTTCCGACGAACCCAGAAGTATTGAACAGCCTCCTTGTGCGCCGGGTCGGTCGTTCGTATGAAATGATCGTAGTCAAGATTTGCGGCTTTTGCTAGGGCCTGAAACTCATCGTCGCAAATTTAAGTAGAGGTTCTCGTAAGTGTTTGTAAGAAGAGCGCGACCGACCTGAAAGGTTTTGCAGTTCATATCACAAAAGGCCTGAGGATCCATGCCAGCCGCGCTCGCGGCCTGCTGAATCTATTTTCACCAAGTTAACCGCGTGACATAGCCCCAGGTCAAGCACCAGGCGATACCTTCATTCCATGTTCATCGGTCCCCGTCAACAGTTGAGCGTCTTTGTCTCCAAGAAGTACCCGCCATCTCTTCAGAATATCGGTGATCACCATAGTATAGAAATGACCGACATGGGGGGCTTTGCGAAATCGATTCCATCAGTATAGATTCGACGATGAGGTCCGCATAGGGTTCATAGAGTCTCGTACCGGCATTCACATAGAATATTGGAGTCGTCACATAGTACGGCTTCTTCAAGCTTTGCTCGGAAGTTGCTGTTGCCAATCGGCGCGCCGAAATGGTCTGAGTAGGAATTCTGCACGAAGCACATCTCCACAATGGACGTCTATGGGCTACAAATTGACTGGCCCATGAAAGCGTACGGAGTCTCCCCTTGGAAAAAGCCATTGCGAAGCAATAGTAACATGGAAAGACGAAGTTGTTTATGGAAGACAATTCTCATACTGGTTGATTTCTCGGAGCTCGATAATCTCCGGGTGGTCCTAGCTCCTCCGTACCTTTTTTTTCCCTCTTAAGTCACGATTTCCGATACATACCTTGCAATTTTCCACCTTTGCCATCTCTTAACGGCAGTCTCTTTCCTCAGCCTGATCTATTAGGGGAATTGAACATCTAAAATCTCTCCAGAAGTTTCAATATACCGTGTGGTCAACGTTTGTCGCGCGCGTCTCGCTGTCTTACACGAAATTGTTGTTGGGTATTTCATCAACCAAAGCTCGCGGAATCTGCATCCACATCAACATAATCAATCTGTCGTCAAAATGACTATTCGAAGTGAAGATGTGCTCACAAGAGTGTCAACTGATGGTATGTTGGGCCCAGCCGACGTTGTCCTTCCTGTCTGACTGTGTCTTTTCAGCTGCCACTGAATTTGTCCAATCCTTCTACCCCGCGCTACAGTCCAATCGCGCAGCAATCGCTTCGTTTTACAGCCAGCCCACCTCCACCATCCTATTCAACGGAAACGCTGTCGCGGATGGCAATGCCGTCCAAGAGATCTTCGTCAACCAGATGCCCCCTGCTCATTACGAGGTGCAGTCGTTCGATTGTCAGGTCATCAATCCAACATACCCCACGCCAACAACATCCGGCGTGAAGCTCCCCAATCAGACGACCGTCAAGGACATGTCAATATTGGTGGTAGTAAGCGGCTATGTACGATTTGGGGAGTCCAGAGATCTGCCGCAGCGTGGCTTCAGCGAAACATTCATTCTGGTACCGAATCCTACAGCGGATGCTCCCAAAGGAAAACGCCGGAGAGAATGGCTTATTCAAACACAAAACTTTCGACTTGTCGTTTAATTAATGAATACTTCGAAGAGGCACTACCGTTACGCCCGACATATCATCTTGTTCGACAACCCGCTCATAACACGATAAAACACGATAATCGCCTATTCATGAATTGAAGGCACGCGCACTAGGTATCTCTGCTGCTTTGCAAAACGAAATGATTGCGAAAGAGAACGCCATGAAATTACAGAAACTACCCAAACACAACATTCGTGACTCATAAAACTCAGGTGGTTGATCTCGGCGGTACGCGCAGATTCGCTTTGACACGCTCAAGTAATTCGTCGCGTGTGGCCTCTTCACTGGGTAGGAGAGCTCTCTGCAGATCGCCGCCAGTTAGTTGGTACATCCTTGACGAACAAGAGGAGCAGAACGTACATTGCGGAGCCATCTCCGCATTTCGTCGGTAGTCCAGTATTCAGGATCTTCTCAGAGTCCCTCAGTCAGCCTTCTATTCCGGTATGGCAATGGTCCCGAGTTGTATACCTCCAGTTGGGTCTGGCTCGGATGGGAACATGTCGCTTCCCCAGATTGTCCACACCGCGGCAGCTGTGACCATCCCGGCGAAACCTACATCTTATCAGTTTGCTTCGTGTTGACTCAATATGTGCGCCACCAGGAGAAGTTACCCAGGACAAGATTCTGGATATGTGTCAGCAAGTTATCACGAAGTTGATATGTGGCTGAATGCTGCAGGCTGGGGTATGCTCACTTTGGAAGTCATTGCTCGGTCTAAAGCAGTGGGCATTTTCCCAAATCCCGGCGTTTTGCGCGGAGAACACTCTTGAGATGTCGGTTGCTGATATTCGATATTATCTACTGTCGTTATATGATGGTTTCGCCACGGAAGCTGCGAGTCAAGCTTCCGTCGTCATGGTTGGAAAGCTGCCGCCTAGACCTTTGCACCGCCACTCGCAGCGAAAACGCCACCTTTTGGGGATATTGACACCTCAGGCATCCACAACGTCTTAGTCCGCGCTTGCTGCATTATTTCATAAATGCTATAGATTGACTATAGAAGGAAGTGAAGCATCTAGCCCGTTGTTGCGGTTTGCCTCGAACTGCCAGCTCCTGTTCGTCATGATCATACCTTCCTGCAGTATTACTTGTGGCTTAAGTAGGAAAGAGCAACTCCAGATATACCTTATAGCTACAGTCCATCTCCTTTGACGATGGATTTCTCAATAGATCTCTCTTTTCCCCTGTTTGTTCACTCTGTACAGACATAGAATTTTTACCATATACCTACTGTTATCAAGCCACACTCTCTCACACTCAAACGTTTCGCCTATTCCTACATCAGGAATACGTTACTTTTCTATTTCCATCATCATCATGGCCCCTCAGCCGACCAAGGGCACCAATCGCCATTACGATCCTGCGTTCGAGTGGTTCGATACACTCTTGCGAGCAGGTCTAGCTTTCAGTGTCCTTACATTTTTAATCATCTTTTTCAGCACTTCGGTCAAGTTGTCAGTGGTAGTATCGTATTCCATTAGATAGCGGTGTTTACTCATCTACAATGCTCAGGGTTGCCTTCTGGAGGCGAAACAGACTCCGAGTCCATCTTTCCAAGAGGGATTCAAGGAGCAGAAACGGTATCGAGCTCGGAGCCGTTCCTCACACAACCGCACCATTTCCACACAGCTTTGCACCAAGTCGAGCGGACGCTGCATCAGTGATCCACCACCCAAACCCGATTTGCAGAGATGCATCAAGAGTTACCGACAACATTGCACCTGGAATTGTGCCATGGCAGTGGAGACAGCACCAGCCACAAGAGGACGAGAGGCTGTGAGGTGAGGCTGTGTGGCGCAGCAGCCAAGGGTTTCCCACCGGCTAAACCCTAATCTGCCAGATTCCACACAATTGCCTCAAGTGTCCGCAGCCGCCCGTGTTGAGACTCGTTGAAAGTGACTGTACTCCATTCCCTCGCTCCGACTTTCTTTCAGATCACCGGTTTGCGTCCATAAGCCCTGCCCACCATGCCTCGCGAAGTTTCCGATATCAAGCAGTTCATCGAGATCTGCCGCCGCAAGGATGCCTCCTGTACGTTTTCCGCACACGATTTCCCCGGTTTTAGAGCGACGTGAATAAGCTCGGATTCAGCTCCGTGGAAGGATTAGCGATGGAGTTGCATGAATGCTAACAATTGGTTTTCTCTCATTACAGCTGCCCGCATCAAGCGCAACCGCTCGACCCAGCAGATCAAGTTCAAGGTCAGATGCCAGCGCTTCATCTACACCCTTGTCCTGAAGGACTCCGACAAGGCCGACAAGCTCAAGCAGAGCCTTCCCCCAGGTGCGTTGCCAGCCTAAGTTTCTACCCGTTTCCCCAGTCACGGATCACTGTTTTTGGAAATAGCGTCTAGTGGTAATAGTGATGAGTGAAATGAGAAGAGAAGCCGCGTTTCTGCTCGGGAGCTCAAGCTAACGCTACGTCTTCCAACAGCTCTCAAGGTTGTCGATGTGTCCAAGGGTGACAAGAAGAAGGCTCTGTAAATACCTTCAGTCGATGGAAAAGGGTGATTTGAGCTCGGTCAATGCAGGAAACAAATACCAAAAGCGAATCGGCATGGGCATGAACTTTTGTGGGCCGACACTAGAATGACAATTCAGCATATGCGGTGAACTCGTTTTTCTTCGCGACTGTTATTGAACACGTCGAAATGTCAGGGCAGATGGCATTTTCACATCAGCCAGACGACCTACCTACCTGCACCTACCACCAAGGGTTGCTTTGTCGGGGTTCCCTAGGCTCTACAACTTAATGGAGAAAAACAGTTGAAAATTCTTACATATTTTCCGCTTCCCGGTCATGCTGAAACGGTAGCTTTACACATGGATTGTGACCTGTGTCGCCATGGATGGAACACAGCAGTTCAATTCGGAATACTCTGTAGATTTCAGCCATATGACGTAGCATAGCTTTAATACTCCCTCTGGCTTGCACGCCTATTAGGCGCAGTCACTTCAGTGTGGACATGATACTGCGCTGCCTCCTCAGAGCAGATGATGGAGCACTTAGCATTATTATCTGAAGCCGGACGGGTACGGGACTCTGACAGGATCTGGTACAAACCGGGCAGGAATCACTTGCTGATCTTGTCTAGACCGTTAACGGCTATGTTGAGACTTCGTGCGACGTCTGACTTGTATATCTATCTACTTGGCCTCGAGGAATACCGAGTAATGACTGGGCTCCAAGTCCCACCTTGTTGCGGACCACAGGTTGACTGGACATGAGCAAAAAAGATCTCTTTTCATTGGATCTTCACCTTTCCTCCAGTATCGAGTTTATTGTCCACGTCCCACGATCTTCAGTACGTCGTATCAGATATGGACTGACTTAGGCTATATTATGTCTTGGCAGAGGTTTGATGAAACATGAACCCCCCGACTCCAATGCCTCCCTCTCATTTCAGCGAGTCAGGAAGACGGCGATCGCCATGGCTGATTGTGGGCCATGAAGGCGTCCGCATAAAGATTCTGTTTGCATGGTAATGAACTCACTGGCATCAGGTGATGAATCAATTATACACATGCTGTAGAGTCCGTCTGTGAGATTGATGGCGGTCAACACAGGTCAAGCGCCTGCTTTACAGTGAAGTAAGCATCCTCGAATCAAATCAATAGTTGGAACATCGAATGCTAATCACTGCTCTTCAAGGCACGGCAAATAGCTAGCAGATGAGGCCACTTATTATGTAGTGCCCTCCCTGCTCTCGGTCTGAGCCGCCTTGAGGCCCAACGTAGCAAAAGAAACTGCGATGTAACCGTTTCAGGCACGGATCCCAAGGCAAAAGTGCCAGAGGCTTGTATATTGCCGTCGGCCCGTGTGTCCGGCGGAACCTGGGGGATCGTCGCTTTCCATTCTGGGAGCTCTTGGCTGTGCTCTTTACGGCATGCCCAGCGCCTCCTCTTCATCAAAGAGAAACATCTGGATGGCGTACTAGTCAGTCGGATGACCAGGGAGTCTCAGTCTGTCGCGATGGTCTGGCGAATTGTGCGTTGTGTTAATAGATGGATCACTATGGGGTTTGTGTTCGGCTTCCCTGCTGCTGGGACGTGATACTCGGTCTATCGAGGGTACCCACTAAAACAAGGCGTGATATCCACAGTGGAGGAGGGGGACAGATGCTGATGCATCTGACGTTTCTGGACGGTTCCAGCAGCAAGCTATGAGGAATCACCAAGGCAGGGACTGTGGCTGCACGGTACATGCATTCAGAGGCCGAAGAGGCCGGCGTCAGGGAACATTTCCGGGTTGCAAGATTGTGGAGCGCCAATGATTCATGGCACCCATGCATACATGCATCCATTGGCGCCGGGATTACTCTTAGTATTCCTATCTGCCGAAGATGAAGAAGCGAATCTGGTAATTCAGGAGCTCTTGTATCAGGGGGCCTGGATAATATCTTGAGTCATGCTGGCTGCCCACCAGGTCACTCTCAGGGGTTGTGGGGGAACTTGTACCATGCAGTGCTGATAATCACAGGGGTCGAAGCTCTTCAGAATGGTTATAAAAGGCCTGAGCAGTCGCTCGTTGCTGTATGCTGTTCTGTTCCCTGTGCTCATCCAAACCGCTTTCTAGCTCCAGACGCCCCTGATCAAGCAGGTCTTTAATCATTGGCTGTTGCTTCTTCAACTTATTGTGTGAACTTTACCTTCTTGCACTAGACAGCATGATTTTTTCCAAGATCGCTTCCATTGCTGGCCTTCTGGCCTCAGCGTCTCTCGTGGCGGGCCACGGCTACGTTTCTGGCATCGTTGCTGGTGGGAAGTAGTATGTGCTTGAACCTCACAATGGCAGATACAACAGCTGACACCTATTCCAGCTACGGAGGGTACCTTGTTAACCAGTACCCCTACATGAGTAATCCCCCGGACACAATTGCCTGGTCCACCACCGCCACCGACCTCGGATTTGTGGACGGCACCGGCTACCAGTCTCCGGACATTATCTGCCACAAGAACGCGAAGAATGGCAAGTTGACCGCAACCGTTGCAGCTGGTTCAGAGATCGAATTCCAGTGGACGACGTGGCCGGAGTCTCACCATGGACCGGTATGAGGTCGAAGAGAAAAGAACAAAGATAGAGTAGGTAGGCTAACATAGTATAGCTGATTACCTACCTTGCTCCGTGCAACGGCGACTGCAGCACCGTGGACAAGACCACCTTGAAGTTCGTCAAGATCGCCGCTCGAGGCTTGGTCGACGGCTCCAGCMCACCTGGTAAATGGGCTGACGATGAAATGATCGCCAACAACAACACGGCCACGGTGACCATTCCTGCCTCCTATGCCCCCGGTAACTACGTCCTCCGTCACGAGATCATCGCCCTTCACTCTGCCGGTAACCTGAACGGGGCTCAGAACTACCCCCAGTGCTTCAACATCAAGATCACCGGTAGCGGCAGTGCTCAGGGATCCGGCACCCCTGGCGAGTCCCTGTACAAGAATACTGATCCTGGCATCAAGTTTAACATCTACTCGAGTCTGAGCAGCGGATACCCTATTCCTGGACCTGCCTTGTTTCAGGCTTAAAGGGGCAGCGAGTTTCTTGACCTCCATTGCCGGCCAAGACACAGGCTGCCAGAAGCTGGCTAAATGGTGGCCTGTTTGAGGGAGGAGAGCACGGTTGGAAGACGGCCGAGGACAAGCTGAATCAAAGTTCTTTCCTAGTTCCCTCTCTGTCAATCCTTATGGTGCTGTCCTGATGATTGTGGTTGAATCTTTTCAATGTATATATTCTCCACGAAGTCTACATGAATGCTACGTCTGTATGTCGTCTCCATAGCATAACGTCACCCTACCGAAGATTGGAACGATTTGCATCTTTCTCACGGCATGATCTACGAATTTATATAGTCGACTTTTGAGTTTAGATGTGTAAATTCTTTGGTCCCAGATGCCAATTGGAGGAAGCAAGATATATAAACCAGAACTACGCAGTTACTGGTTCAACAATATAGACCAGCAATTTAAACACGGATATCACAAAGAACGGCACCTTTCCTGCTTGGTTGGAAAATGGTGCTGCCTAACCAAGAGCAATATGGCTGTATGACTTCAGCCAGTGACAAAAAAGCCATGGGCCCACGAAAGGCATATGCTTGTTGATCAAATTCCAAACCGGCAAATAAGACACACATAAAATACCAGCTCCGCTTGTGCTAACCGGGCTATAGTTCCAGGGAAACCAATAAGGCTGGCGGATTATGACATGATGATATCCTGGAACCTTCTGCGCGGTTGATGTCATCGCCTCGGCCGATGGACCCTTATTTTTTCTATATTCATATTCATATACCGCTAAACACCCACAATAAAACAATCCAAAAATTTCCCCATGAGTGAGAGAATTGTTTAAATCAGACGGTCCAGAATGGATTCAGATTCCACGCGCGATACGCAACAGCCCCCGGAAATGGAATCCAGGATGCCGCAAGCAGAGGAACAAGGGCGGGACGGTACCCGGACTACGGGATCTAGTATTGCGGATACGTACTCGACGACTGCGAGTTCCCTCGCTGACCTGGGGAATCATATTAGCACCATGGCGGGGACGACCATGACGGAGATCAGAAATAAAGCCGGTTCGGTGTCGACTGGGGATGTTGTGCGGGAGGTCCGGGAGACGGCGTACTCGATAACGATGGGGAGTAAACAGGCGGAGGAGACTACGGGTACGGGCGTTGAAGGTTTGTCTGCTTAGCTATTTGCTTGATAGATTGATTGATGGGTCTGATACGAGGCAGAGTGCGATCCGCAAGAAGCTCGCATGATTGATGAGCTGCCCAAGGAGCGAATCGCCGAGTTTCTGCAGGAGAAGCACAAGAGCGATGCGGTGCGGCCTTCGAAGCAGCAATGACATTGCGGAGGCTTCATCTGAGCAAATCGACGTACATACTACAACTGACGAACCGCCTAGCTACGATACCGATGGCGAGCAGAATCGCGAACTGCGAAATGACCACAATGGACGACCCAAAGCGACAGACTAGACATTATCTCACACGCTACAGTACCGCCCGGAAACCTTTGTCCAGACTGCGATCCAGTCCCAAGAACTCGGCGACTTGGCCCAGATGGTCGACTCCCCAGAACCCTTCTGTCTCACCCTCGGAGTTTGTGCACTCGAACCAAGGAATTCCAAAGGCACCGGACTTGAACGCACGATCCGTGTTGGCCGACAAGAGCGATTTGACCTCAACCTGGCTCATCTGTTACGAATATTTAGTAACGCCAGCAATACGATACGCGGGAACAGCAACCAACTTACAGCCTTGAGGATCTGCTCTGCGCCTTCTTTGCCGAGCACTTTCTCCAGGACGGGGCCGAACCCATCAGGCTGTCCGATCTGGCTATTTCCTTCAATCCAGTAGGACCGAAAGAGCGCGTCGACAGTGGGAAGAAAGCGTTCCGACGCCTTTTGCGAGACGGCGCACAGAGCACGCTGCGGAGCCAGAGTCAAGGGCGGAAAGCCTGCCGGTGTCTGTTCAACCATGGGAACGGAGAAGTAGCGGGCCCAGCGGCGCCGTTCTCGGTTGATCCATTGCGCTTTGTCTGGAGGACACAATTAGGTATTGAGTTGAGCATGTATCCTCCCTGGAGATCGACTTACTCGTGATCTGGATGGGCGGAGTATTTTCACATGCCCTCATCAACCCCCCCAGGAAAATGGGCACATATGTAATGTCGCACTTGGCAAATGTGGGAGAGTGCTTCGAAAATGTTACTAGTGGCCTCTGAGAACGTCTGATGCGAGTATGCTATCACTCACTCTCAATACATGGAAGGCTATATGAGCGAACGGGCTCACGATGTCGAAGTAGAGTGTAATCTTGGGAGCGGCCATGCTGTGCAGTCCAGGCAAATGCAGTCTGCTACGGCTTTGCCAAGTAAATTTAGAAGCAGACAGGACTCTCTATATAGTTCGTCAAACGCCAAATAGTGTTAATGAATTGAGTAATGTCGTTGCCTTTGATTCCATCTCCGCATATGCTGCTGAGTCATCATCCACCAGATTGCCGAGGTTGTGACCATTGATGCTATATTGTATACGAAGTACTTCATCCTCTCTTGTAGACGCTCGTATACAGACTTTCCGGCAATCCCAGGCCGTGGCTTCCCCTCTCCATGGCCATCTGAATACCTCTACACTGCTAGCCACTTTGATGATCGTTTGAGGAGGCGTTCTCAAACCCTGAGCGCGGCGGAATCATGCATCCGACCGTTGAATTCAGACCGTGGACCAAGAAACCTGTGAAAATGACAACTTCCTTCCTTGTTCCTTGCTCAATGAGGAAGTGCGACGCGGAGAGAAATTGTGCCAATGAGATAGCGCCTTCTAGTCGCATCTCGCTTTTCTCATGGCCAGCTGACTGCATGCTGCACGTCTTGGCCGCATACTATACTTGAACAGGCCAGCTTTACTGCCTCCATGATTTGACAAGTGCCGAGGAACTGGAGCACGTTGAAGTGTTCAGCATGAGCTCCGTAACTCGATGGTCTTTGAAGGTCCCAAGCAGTCCGAGATGTGCGCTGGCACGCACATGGGGTCCTTTCAGGATACAGTGACCGAGAGGCGTCGCCATGCAAGTATTTACCAAGCCACTCGTATGGTGATTACGGCCACGTTCGCAAATAAACTCTGCTGGGGATTCAAGTATCTCCTTGTTGTCATTGAGGACAACAGGTGCGACCGTTTCGAGGAGCCAGACCTCTTGATGAAGCGCAGATCTTCTACGCTTGACTCAGGATCATCATGAGACGCGGCTCTTCCGGCTGTAGCCTCTTCGAGGGCCCTCTATGCCAAACGAAGGTCGAACTCTGCACGCGCTTGTAGTCATAGAACAATAGTAGAGTGGTATCTGGTGACCGATGGGCCATCCAAGAAAAGCCACGAACAGGATCGAGTCACTTGCAAATTAACAAAGGACGACTCGAAACAGCAAGACAGAAGCTGAAGAGGCCTGTCTGATCGAGATTACGAGCATCAATAATATGACTTCATCGAATCGAGGGTAGATCTTCCGTCATTGCATCGCAGGATCGTCATCATGATCAGAGTCCTCTACAGTGGCGGACCCGGTCCAGAACCACTTCGGCTGGTGCTCATGATATATCAGATCTCAGGGCCTCGAAAGGATACGCGAGCGACAAATCTCCTTACTAGACTATCTCAGTCTCGTTTCTCACATCTTGTTGACAGTATTGATCCACAAGCTGTGCACCTCATTTAGGCAATGTCATCCAACCCCCCGAATGAAGAGGGAGACTTCCCAACGGACAATGAGCAACAGCAACAACAAAATAGTTCGAACGTCGATCGGGAGATTATGGGCGTCACTAGCCGAGGGACAGCACCGCGCGTGTCGCGACGGAAGCGGTCCGAGTATGCACGATCCTGGAACCGATCCAGTTCTAGGCGACGTGTTGGAGAAACAGGATCCAAGTACCGTTCTCGATCCAGGCATTGAGTGTTTCCATTTGAGACTCTGCCAGCTTGGCTGTCTTTGTTGAGCATATTGCATGACTGGAGGATGGCAGGTTGCACAACGAAGTGCAAATTACAATTCTCAGGGGCTGGCATGGCACAAACAGCAGGTCGTCAAACAGAATAATTGAAAATCACGAATGAATATCCAATTTGAATGTTGCGCGGACGCAGGCCGCACTCATCCACATCGGCGAATAGGATCATTACTAGTCTAATCCAAGCATCCCACCGCGCTTCTGTGGCCCAGTGTGACTTATTGTAAGGAGCCACACCCGGAAATTCATCAATAGTTCAGTCTTGAATTGATGTGGTCGAGTGAAGAACGTAGATGCCACGTTCAGCCTGAAACCGTACATGTGGGATTGTCTGCTTGCTTGGACGAGTATCCTGCCACAGCGCCAACTAAGAAAGAAGGCATAAATTTGGCAGAATCACTCCGAAACAAGCCATCCAGGCTCTTCTGTCCAGGACCTGGCCGGAGTCAGCATACAATATGCGGGTTTGACTCTCAGCTGACACGTGCGCTGCGAGGTAGGCAAGCTTTCTCGTTGCTCATTGTTTGGTCAGTGCATTAATCACGACAAAGAATTGTTTTTTCAGCCCGCCATGATGGGCTTGCAGTGTTGGGAGTATTTTCTGTCCTTCCGTCCATAGCAGTATAGCTCAATCTCGTCAAACTGGTCATGTTGAGACGGGAGTTGCATGGTGTCCTTATGCAAACTGAAAAGATTAACCGAGTCCATCAAGCTGAAAAAGACCTCTTCGCTATCATGTCGTCTCTTCAAAGCCACCAGGACTACAGCATCGGGCGACATTTGGGCCAGACGGTCCATCACATTGACCAGCGCCGGCAGGCTGTCCGCGTTGTACGTGCAATCCGAGACAAGAATGAGGTCAATGTGGCCGTCACATAAATCGTCAGGCAGCTTTTCATCCCAATCAAGTGGTTGATAAGCGACCTGAGACGACGGAGCTGGGCTTGCGACTGCTATATTTTTCATGACGATCTCCTCCACTTCATGGAGATCTGTAAGTAGAACGGAGCAATGCGAGAGGAGCTCTGCTAGCGCTATACCCACAATACCGCAGCCAGACCCCAATTCAATGGCGTGAAGAGGAGTGCTGCGTGGGCCTTGCAGCAGGCTCTGGAGCAGAGGTGCAGCGGACCCTGGAGGCTTAGTGATCGCTTGCTCAAGGTATATTACCGATGCGATAGCTGCATCCCTGCGGATGCAATATATATATTCTTAGAATAATAATCAGACACGGATTTAGAGGCCTCACCAGATATGCCGGGCAATGCTGTTGCCGGTCTCCTCCCATATCCGGAGGTCCAACTGATTCTTCGGGAGGAAGCGTCGTTCGACAAGCTTCTCAGCCACGGGAGGCTCTGACCCTCCAAACGGCGCGCTCCAGCCTGATATGACTAGAGGAAGTTTAGAGGTGTCGAGCAGATGGTCTGACTTGGGTTGGCTCGGCCGCTGAGGGTCAATTGCGGTTACGCTTAGCACGATAGCCTCCTGGGATAGTCTGGCGGAAAATGGGCCCAAGGATAGCGGGAGTTCGCGTTTCCCTGCTTTCCACTGTAGGTTGTCCTTATACAGGGTCCTGCCTGAGCCATTGGAACTCAATGTTACCTGCAAATCGACATCTTGGGCTAGAAATGCATCTCCTAGATCGGTGGTGATGCATATGAGCGCAGTTACAGTGACAGGCCCCGCTTTCTGACTCTGAAGTCTAGGCGTCTTAAGAAAACGAATGTAATATACCATCTTCAGGTCAGAGACGGACAATTGATTGACGATCCTAGTGAGTTCGGATTCTGGTAAATGTTTACTGATATGGACGATAGATACTGATGGCACGTGCCGCTGACTAAACTTGCGGAAATGACATCGCAGAGTGGAGGCGGGCCCTCATTCCTGAGGCAATGAGGCACACCACATCTCAACGATCGCGTTCTATTTATACGTCGCATGGATATATCGATGGGGCTGACGATCAAGCCGCCAACTGCCCACATCGTTCTTTCCATCGATTCACTTCAATGTGATTCTTTTGGGACAGACTGAAGCATCTGCGCACAAAGTCTCCTCCGCCGTTGGCTGATTGTCATACCCAACGGGGATACCTTATCATCAAGATGATGCGAACCAGAGACCCTCGGGTCCGCCAGACGATCAACCAGATCTCTCACAACCTGGAATCTGCGAACGAGACGGCGCAGGAGGGGCTCTATACATTTTCGCACCATTATATCCTACCTTGTCTTTCGTCGATTGGAAACTGCGTCCAGGCATGTACGGCCCCTTGTCTTCCAAGTCGGGATGACCATCTTCGACGTCGGAGACGGGGACGTGCGGAAGCCAGCTTTGACTTTTATGATGATTGGGATAATGATGATTCCAACGACAGTTTGCTTGGATGGGGCACGGACGAGCTCGACCGGCTGCTGGCGGGAAGCGGCCTGACGCGCGGGGGCGCCGAACAGCCACGCAGACAGCGCAAAATGAGTTACGGTACAAGAGGCACGAGACGGAAGAGCAGTGTTTTGGTACCCGATAATCGAAATGATCCGACTGTTATTCCAAGCTCGTCCTTTCTGGGGTTCTTGGAGCGCTTTCCCTGGAGACTGGGGGCGCGAGGGCTGAAATATCGACCGTCCGCTGCGGATCTGCAGGAACATCCTACGGGGCTGCGCCGGCATGCGCCCGAGGATGAACCCCTCATGGAGTCCGCCGAAGAAACGGAGGAGCATGACTCCTCCAACAAGAATGGGCGATACCGCAGTGCCACGCAGACATCGCGTGAGACCGCGACCTCCTTGAGCTCGAGAGGGGATTTGATTCCTAGCGACGAGGAGGAAGATGCGGTTCCTCTAGACGACGAATTTGCACTGGCGTGGGTCAGTCGCCGAGGTACAGGACTAGACTCGGACGATCAATTGAGCGACAAAGTTGCAGGGATAAAACGGTCCATGTCGGGAACCTTTAGTTTCGGGACCTCAGCTTCGAGGGAGTCCAAAAAGAAAAAGAGTCGGTTACGAGAATCCCGAAGTCCTAACAAAGAGAATTCCCGTGATAACGGCGAAGCGTCCTTGGTGCATTTGAGAAAAGAAGAGGAGCAAGCAGAGCTTGAGGAAGAAAGAGACGTAGCTCGGAAACGGGCTGCAGCACGAAGGTTGGCTGCGAGTCGTGGTCTCGATCCAAGCAAAGACAAGGTATGCTAGTCGCGATGAAATCTGAAACCATTCATGCTCACCCGGAATTGCAGCCATCACTTCCATCTTATCCGCAATCTGCACCTGGTGTCTCAGATGTGCCTTCTACATCCCCGGATCACACCCTTGTAGAGTC